TCTTTACTCTGGTTGCTCTTCATAGTTTGTTATTTGTTATGGTCCTGTCCATACCCACCATATGCCTCTCCTTTACTTTCCAAGTGATACCTAATTTCATCATCATCACCACTTACTTATATTGGGCACTAGTGTAGAATTTGGTATGTAGGTCCTTAATAGATACTTGTTGATTGATTGAATAATTAAGCTGCTTCAATTCTACTTAGCTTTGTTTTCTGTGCAGTGGAATCTTGCATAGCAAGGTGCTTGCTTGGTAATGTGATTTTTACGAAGTTTAGGCTATGCTCCCTGCTTTAATGTGGTGCAAAGGCTCATTGTAGCATGTGTTTTATAGCATTTATTACTCTCATTTGGTGGCCTCATCAGTTTCCATGGAATTAATTATCGTCTCTGTGTTAAATGACTCTTGGATCTATATATCCAATCCTATCCTTTCTCCAGAGACCCAGCCCCACTGCCTAATGAATATTTTGAATTGGATATCCCATAGACATCTTAAATATATTAAAAAACTCATTCTCTTTACCTCTAAAACCCACTCCTTTTTGAACTTCCCTACATATGTCAGGGGCACTACTATCCTTCCAGCCATCCAGGCTTTGAAACTCAGGGTCATCCTTGACTCTTCACTTTTTGTCATTAAGCACCTTCGGTGTGCCAGGCATTGTGTTAAGCTCTGGGGATTCAAATAAAGGCAAAATTCAGTCCCTGCCTTCATGGAGCTTATAGTCTAATTGGGGAAAGCCACATTCAAAAGCTGAGGTGAGAGGAGAGAGGTTTGTTTCTACCTCCACAATGTCTTTCCCTTTGCTTTTACTACTCTCCTCATACAATCAACCATCCTACTTTAGGCCAGCATCGGTCTGGCCTGGACACTTGGAAAAGCCTCTGAAGTGGTTTCTGTTCACTTAGGTTGCCAGTTATTTTTCTAAAGGACAAGTTTGACCTTATCATCCCCTTTACTTAACAAACGAGTACTTCACTATTATCTTTAGGGTTATATAAAAAAACCTTCCTCTTGACTTTTAGGATTAAATAAAAACCTAGCCCCAACCCACCTTTCCAACCTTATTAGTCATTATACTCTTCCCTCCCATCATGCTGGCCTTTTTGTTATTACTCATGCTAGACACTCTTATCTTCCCATCTCTCTTTTTATATTGCTTGTCTCTTGGGCCTGGAATGCCTTCCCTTCCTATCTCTGCTTCTTGGAATCTTTGATATTCTTCCAGGTCCAGTTAGAGCTCGTTTTTCTACCTGAGAGTATTCCCCACCTTCCACCCCCCAGGCACCCCCCCCCCCCCCCCCCGCTTAGTGTCTTAACCTCCTAGGTTATCTCCTGTCTATGTTGTTTGTGTTTTGTTTATATATATCTATAAATGTCTGTATTGTCTCCCCATTAGAATGGAAGCTCCTTTGGGACGAGGACTGTTTGACTTTAGAATTCGTGCTTTCTGGTATAGTGACTGAAACTTGGGGATACTTAATTAATGCTTGCAGAATGATTCATTCATTGATACGTGAATGTCAGAGAGCTGAAGCTAGGTGTTGGCCAGGTGGATAACCTCTAAGAGTGCAAAATGCATTTGGTGGACACAAGGCATGCATCTGGTTTTCAGCCATAATTTCATCAGCATGGATACTCCTTCCATGCCTCAGTAGAGGGTCTTCATGAATTTCTGGGACCAAAAAGACAAATTGTTAGTTTATGACCAACATTCTTATGATGGAGTTACCCAAACTTAAATAGAATGGTCTTGGATAACAGTCTGTCTCTTAATAGGGCTCTACTTAAAAGCCTTTCTACCTTGGTGGGACCAGAAAAAACCTGGGTTCTATTTAAAGGTTCTGGCCATGAAGAACCCAGCATTACTTTCCTGCCATAATGAGGCATCAGATGAGGACTTGAACATTAATTTTATAAATGCACATGATCTAATGCCAGAAAAATCTCCTGGCATGCTACATGGTATTTACTTTGTGGTGCAGTGGATAGGACTAGACCTGGAATCAGAAAAACCTGAATTCAAATGAGACCTCTGATAATTACTAGCCATGTCACTCTGAACAAGTCACGTAACCTCGGCCTGCCTCTGTTCCCTCATCTGTAAGATAAACATAATAATAGCACCTACCTTCCAGGTTTGTTACGGATGTAAATGAGATAATATTTGTATAGTGCTTTGAAAACCTTAAAAGTGCTGTATAAATGTTCACATCATTGTAAGTCAAATTGTGTGTGAATGTCCAAATCCTGTGGTGAACAGAAATGCATGATGTGAGGGGGAAGGTTTTCAAACATGCCTCATCTGCACAAATGCTGCCTTGTCGTGCTTTGGGTGATAGTTGTATTGCCTTCAGTTGTTGGTGCTGGTTTTTGTTTAATTTTTTAAACTGTCTCATGTTTAAAAAGATCTTTAATCCTTTAATCCTTACTCTGACTTCTCCACGAGAGAAGGCTGGTAATTTTAGTGTAGGTTTTTCACCTGTGGTTCACCCAGTGTTTGGAAAGTATGATTGTAATTCCCTAAATAATTTGAGTTTTGAAAATTAATGCATAAAAAAAGAAAATTAATGCATGAATTGAAAGTTTCCAAACAGATAAGACCACACATCTGTCAGATTGAAACCTGTTGTGTTTTTAAACAAAACAAACAAAAAAGGACCCAAACAATTAAGCTGGGAAATTTGCTGTTTAGAATAGAAACAACTTGACTGTAGTTAGGCATGTTTTGGGGTAGCACATGTCTCTGGTAAGCATTGATGTGTCCCTCTGAGGCCATAATGAAAGGGTTAAACAATTCTGAAGATAGTGATGATGATGATGATGGTGACCTTGTGACTAATTGCATTTCTGTAGTTCTTTACAGTTTTGTTTACAACTAGGTGAAATAGGTAGGCTTTGTTGTGGAGGCAGCTAGGTGGTTCAGTGGCTAGAGTCCTGAGTTTGGAGTCAGGAAGGCCTAAATTCATTTCTGGTGCCAGACACTAGCTGGGCAGGTCACTTAACCTCCGTCTGCCTCCATTTCCTCAGCTATAAAATGGGGATGATAATAATAGCACTGCCCCCAGGGTTGTTATGAGGATCAAGTGAGATAGTGTTTGTAAAGCTCTTTGTAAACCTTGAAGGGCTTCATAAATATTCACTATTATCATCATTATCATCATTATTATTGTTATTATTCTCATCTTAAAGATTAGGAAACTACTCAGACCACACACTTGGCACTTAACTAGCTGTGTGACCCTAGGCAAGTCACTTAACCCCAATTGCCTCAAAAAAAAAAGAAGTTTAGGAAACCAGACAGTCCGAAAGGTTGGGAGTTTCCTAAGTAGTTGCCTGGGCTAGATAAGTGACTGAGCCTCCACCTGAGATCTTCTGCTCCCCAAGTCCGTTTCTCTTTCCCTTACCCCGTATTGGTGGATCGTCCCATATATAATTCACTAAAGTTTTAGGGAAGTTATTAAGGTGTGGAAGCTTAAGTACGGCACTAAGACTTTGAGGACATCCTGTATTGAACCAAAGAGTTTCATCCAGAAAAATTTAATCTCACTATTGTAAAGTAGTTCGTGCTGTTCTTGAGAGACAATTTTTATATACTTTTTGAGTAAAGTTCTAAGTTATGTGTTCTGTGAAATTATGTGAGAAGTACCAGTTTTGTGGGGGTTTTTGTTTGTTTGTTTGTTTTTGCCTTTTTTGGTGAGGCAGTCAGGATTAAGTGACTTGTCCCGGGTCACACAGCTAGTAAGTGTCAAGTGTCTAGGGTTGGATTTGAACTCAGGTCCTCCTGACTCCCAGGCTAGAGCGCTATCCACTTCACTACCTACCTGCCCCAGCACAAGTTTTTAAGGATCAAAATGATGAAGTTAGAGATTTTTAAAAACATGGTATATTGAGTCTTCCCTGGATATGGTTTCTTCCCATTCCCACCTAACCTACTTAATTTTTCTTTTTCGTAACAGTTCTTGTTTTCTTTACAAATGTTCTAAGACAAATGGTAATCTTACTACAATAGTTTTTAAAATGGAGTGAATTTTCTGGCTTAAAGTACTTGGGGAAGAGCAAAGGTTATGTAATTTAACTTTTTTTTTTCCTCACTAAATCAGTAAATATTTACAGATGACCTTATCTGAATACCTTGGGTACATTGGGTCACTAGGAAGCATGCAGTTAATGCAGTGACCACCATGCAGGGCTTGCTGCCAGGCTTCCTGTGTGTCTAAGAATTTTAGGGGGGAAAAAATCCTTTTTCAAATTGCTTACACAAATTTCTCAGTCAGTAATTCCTGTTGGACTTGAAAGCAAATCGCTGGGCTCTGATAGAACAGTTGAGAAAAATCTACATTTTTAGATTGGCCTCTGAAGATACAATTCTTAAGGGCACATTGCTGTGTACTAAAGAATAAATATTGAATTTTGGCTTAGAGAGACTGCCTATGTTCTTGTGTTTGTTAGGGAAGGCTAATTCCAGAGACTGTTGGTTAAGGAATCAGAATTGCACTCCAAGCTGAAAGTTTTATTCTCTTATGAAGAAACTGAAGAAAACAAACTGATTAATTTTCTTTTGTAGTGAAATGGTACTGATGTCATGTGGCTGAAGGACTAAATCCTTTCATTTTAAGGAAGAAAGCAGTTGCTAGGATGTTCTAGCCTATTTCTTTTTCCTGTTTTCTTTTCCTTTGCATTTAACTTAACTCTCAAGGAAAATGTATTGTTCTTCAGAGTTGACAGTGAAATATAGCAAAGCCCCTTTGTATTTTCTTTTGGTGGGTGAGGTATGAAGATTACAATAATATTATTCTAACCATATAATGTGGTAACAACAGCTATTCATTTTCCACAGTCAGTTTTAAATAACAAGATTGAACTGAATTCCGATGGATTAATGCTGTCAAATACTCAACAAATAAAAAGCTGATGCCTTTTAAAAATAAATGCTGCTCTAACTACATATACTTCAGCCAATTTACCTTTTCTCTTTCAATTCTTTTTGCAGAGTATTGGAAAAGGGTCCTTGTGGTGTATAGACCCAGAATACAGACAAAATCTCATACAGGCCTTGAAAAAGACACCCTATCACCCATATTCACATGTGTTTAATACACCTCCCACATCTCCTCAGGCATATCAAAGGTAAGAAAAACAAACTTTTTTTTAATCTTATAATTTACCATCTACTGTTTTTGCTTTTTCTTTTCTACTTAAAAACTATTATAATAGCAAAAATACTGTGGATCTTTAAAAACTGTAATAGCAGACAAGCAAAACAGCTAGTAAAAGTTCAGTTACTGGTCATATCTACTGTTGCCTTATTGAATAAATCTTACCCCTTCCGTCTCTTCTGGGGTGGAGGCAGGTTTATCCAAATAGCATCCGCATAACTGGTGAAGCAAATCTTTCCACACAGTAAAAGTTACTCGAAAAGAAATACCTTACAAAATTGGTTTGTCAGATTTTGTTAAGTTGAAAGAGCAGGACAGAGAGAAGAAAGTGAAATCAGCTTAATTTAGCCCAGCTGTAGTTTTCTCAGTTGTGAACTGCAAGACTTCACGCTATTGTCCTTAAATCCAGTCTCCATGTTAACTGTAGTCTTGAGAGATAATTTTGTTGTGGTTACTCAGTGTATGTTTTTGTCTCTTGAAGGAGAATGGCAGAGAACAATGAAGGCTAGTATTTTCTTTAGCATACACCTATTTGTTAGGGGACTATTTTATTAGATCAAGGAAGTAATTTTTTAAAAAGATATAATTTGAGGGGAGAAGTCCTCTGACTTTTTAAAGTACTAAATTAACAGGTTTGAAAAACAATGCAATTAAAAAAAAACTTCATTGTAAAAAATGGTGTTTGGGTTTGAAATGCCTTTTTGTCTCATGTGCCTACTGGAATGTTTCTACCAAAACTATACAATTAAGAGAAATGATCTTTTTATAGCTACTTTTTGTCAGTCATGAACTGTGTAGATTAATAAGTCAATTTAAGTAGTTGATTTTTTTTTTTTTTTACAGTGCACTCATTTACCAAATTCTTTCACAAGTCTTATATTCTGCAAGAAGGGAGCACAAAGTGAGCTTTTCAAACAACATTAATGAAGTTCTTGGGCATCTCAGTTGAGAAGCATTCCATCACATGCCTAGACAATCAATCTTTAGCAAGAGACTGGGAAGAACAGCTGGGCTTTCGGGGAAGACTGCTGTACGTCTGCCCTTGCTAGACGATTAGCGTGATGGTAACCATAGTAACTAGAGCGTCTCCATAGCAACACATAGCTGAGACAGGTGCAGTTGCATCACAAGACTGTTTGTTGCCTGGCAAAAGGACAGGCCATTAGTACTCAGATATACGCTGTTGCCTTGGTAACAAATAACCCTACATAGCAACTACAGTTGGCTTGAAGGGTAAAAAAAAAATGTTGTACCTGCTTTTGTCTGTTTTCATAAAAATCAGCGGAAGCACACCTTACAGGAAATGACAAGTTAAGGTTATTGGAATCTTTTGGTTGACTTTGGACTGTCGGTGTATATCTTTCCTCTGCTTGCCATTCTCTAGGTGTCTCCCCCCAACCCCCCACTTTCTCTCCCCAGTTTACCCCTGAGAGGCGGTTACCATTCTGTCTGCTCCTAGAAAGTTATTAGGAACATAAGAATTGCCACACGGGGTTAGAGCCATGGTCCATTTAGCCCAGGATTCTGTTGCCAACAGCGGCCCCAAGGGGAACTGAGTAATTATTCAATAAATTGAAAGATTATGGTGCAGCTCTGGGATTGCAAGAGCAGAGCAGATATTTAGATGAGTCTCTCTGTAAGCTGGTATAAGCCTAATGGCTTTATTTGATCATTAATGTACTTGTAAACTCTGGAAATAGCACATAATGGGCTAAATTTTTTTAGGGAGCCATTGTTGTACTAGGCATAATATGAGCATGAATACTTGGATAAAGGAAAGTTTGTGTAATAAAAAAATAAATTTTGAAAAATAACTTCTGAGTTACTTCTCACCTGAGCTAGTTGAGGGGATACTTTCTCTTTTTCCTTTACCTTATTCCATCTTAAAAAAACAAAAAAAGAAGAAGCTTCCAGATGTGAAAGCTTAAGAGGATGTCTGTGATGGATCATGTTATTGAAGAAAGGCCAGTAGCCTCAGAATCAAAAGACCTGCATTCAAGTCCCAGCTTTGGGAGTTACTAACCTTGTAATAGTGGTAGGTGATATAATCCCTCTGTTCTTTACTTTGTTCTGCTCTAAAATGGGGGTTATAATATATTCCTTAGCTCCTAGAGCTGTGAAGAAAGCCGTTTATATAACTTATAAAGCATTTTATAAAACTATATTGTTGTATCATTGGTGGAACTAGATTTGACATTGGAGAACTTTGGTTCAAATGCTAGCTCTGACACCTTCTCTGTTTGTGACCTTGAGCAAGTTTTAACCTCTTTGACCCTTAGTCTTCTCTTATATTACATAGAGGTATTTGGATTAATTGAGTTCTGCAGTCCCTTTCATTGCTGAAGCCATGATACTGTTAGCTTTGCAAACCTTAAAGCACCATATAATGTCAGTAATAATAATTTTTATCATGATTATCAGGCAGTCTTGTGTAGCAGAAAGAGAGTTGGCCAGGAGCCAGGAAGATAGTGGTTCAGATCTTGTCTATGAAATCTTCTGTCTGTGTCACTTAACCTCTTAGTGTTCTAATCTGGACCACTGTTTTAACCTACAAATTGCAAAGAAAGTACTAACCTGCACTGATAGTTGGTTTTCTCATCTCATTCCTCTATCATTGAAACCAAAGGTCTAGTCTCTATCCTTCAAAATCATCATCACCATCCACTATGTACCACCATTACCATCTACCATCACCATTACCACCACTATCCACTTCCATCTACCACCACCTACACTTCTGTGGATCATCAGATTCTAGGCCCACTTTCAATCCCCATATGCTTGGTGGGCCAGAAGATGGTTTCTGTTCCTTTAATTTCAGCTTTGAAAACCAGGAATTCTCTTTTTCTCTTCCTTCACTTCAGTATTTTAGCTCCTGCACATTGTGGTATGTGGAATGTAGAGGACTTGACAAAGACCATAAAAATAGTGGCTTAAAATTTTATCTGTTTCAGTTGTGAAGTTTAGAGCTCGTTTCTAAACCACCGAATAGTGTCCTGGTGGACTGTGTGTGTATCAAGTGGGTTATTCATTAAGCAGGGATGGAAAAGATTTTGTCAGATGATAGTCGCTTGGGGAAACACCAGCATGATGTCCTTAACTAACTCATATCTCCCTTATAGCAGCTGTTGTGAGGATCCAGTAAAGTGCTTTGAGTTACTTGAAGATGGTTAACTAAGAGGATGATGAAGAAGGTGCTGCAGCTTGTGGTGCTGTTTTTGCTGCTACTTTGTAGGTGCATCTGGCAAATTGTGTTCTGTACATAGCCACTGGTGGCCAAGCTCTTGAGCAGAAAGAGAAGCACTATGAAAAACTTCCCTAGCATAAGGTCAGGTCCATTATCTCCTCCGACCTCTTTGAATTCTCAGAGACATGGGATACACTCCCGCTTCATGTCTACTTCTTGAAAACCCAATCTTCCTTCAAGGTTCAACAGTGGTACCATCTGCAAAAAGCCTTCCACGAGTCCCCTAGTTGTTAATGTTGTCTCCAACCTCAATTTTCTTTGTTCTGTACCAGAGGTCCTTAGCTTTTCCTTGTGTCCCGGACTTCTTTGGCAATTTGGTGAAGTCTATGGACCCCTTCTTAGAAGGATATTTTTAAATGCATAAAATAAGATGCCCAAGATCACCAAGGAAAACAATTATATTGAAAAAAGAGTTATCAGAACATTAAAAACAAGTTCACAGACCCCAGGTTAGGAAGAACCTTTTATTTGAGCACATGTTGTGTTACCTCCTCCCCCATTGGAATGTAAGTTCCTTGAGGGCAAGGACTGTTCTATTTATGTTTAAACATTTATTGTTGAATTTTTAGATCAGAAGGTGTTGCTAAAAACGTGACCATAGTATTCCCATTCTGTTTTCTTCATATACTTTCTAGGGCACATAATACTGTACTTGCTAATTTTGATAGCACATGTGCTAATTTTTAAAAATGAAAATGTGATGCTAAGTGACATAAAGCCGCCTTTCCTCAAATAAGGCATTTTGCTGTTAAAAATGTGAGTAATTATTCTTAGAAATTCAAGCAGACAGATTTTTAAAAATCTTACACACCAAAATAATTATTGGTTAATTGAAAGCAAAATTACTATATCTTGTTGCCAGTGCTTGTCTTGTCTTATTATCTGTCTCCATAATTGTAAAATACATTTCGAGAAAATGATTACCTCAGTGGGACTGACTCAGTTACTTTCTCATCACTGTTAAAAATAAATTTGGGAGGGGGAGAGAAGAGGTTGTCATCGGCTGCATCTTGTTTTAATTTCAAAACTATTAGTCTTTAGACTGCCCTTATTTATTTTTTTAAGTAATGCTGAAGATCATGTTGCAGGCTTCCAATGGCCTGATCTCCCCAACTCCAGCAGGTGAAGCCCCCATCAGCTTGCCTAAAGGAGCATGAACGTTTACCGAGAAGGGAAGAGGGCTATGGAATGATAGAATCTCCGTTTGGGAAAGATCTGGAGGAACGAATGGTGTGCTGTAGTATGTGGTCTATCCAGATGCCAAAAATCTCTTACCTTACAAAGGTCTTATTTCCATTATTGTGTAGGTTATTTTGGTGTCAGTTGTTTTAAAATCAGTGGTTGTTTTTTTTTCCCCATCTCCAAGCATTTAGTGATGGGTTTAGGTCTCTAAAGTTATGCTTTTGACACATTACCTTTGTTGATTTCCTATATGTATGACATCATTGCGCTAGTTTGTAGCTTTCCCTAAGATTAAAGTTGATAGGGTGTGTGTGTGTGTGTGTGTGTTTTACCTTAGCTAATCACTGTGTGATACAAGTCTTTTGGTTTTTCAGTCTCATGAGCTGAATAAATCCAGATGGCTAGAGAAGTTCCAGCCTTGACCGTTAGGATGCTGGTGAAATTGTTCTGTCTTAAGATTATAGTTGAACTGCTGCATGGCCATTGACATCTGGAAGGAATATCATGTTTGCAGCCTTCTGTGACCTGTTGTATGGGAAGGG